GCTGGATGGAAAGAGATGGGATTGGACACCGCTTCGCCGGGCTACTGGCTTCCATTCCTACATGGAGCCTTTAACTGCGACCTTGTTGTGGTGTGTTCGCAGTTCACAGCACGAAAGATCTGGAAGGACTGAGTCGACAGGGCTGGTGGCCTGACGCCCACCTGGTGCATCGTTGTTGTGGATGGGCCACTCAGCTCTTCTTGGTGTGAGACCTGAGCCTCCGGGCTGCGCCATCAAGGCGTTTTTCCCGTTTTTGTTCGCTAAGCGAATGTGCTTGTCAGCACCCGCCTGACAAACAAAACTGTGTACCTCACCGTGGCTCTTTGGGCTACGGCTCTTGCCACAAGAGGCTGCAATACGGCTTTTGTAATGTCAAAGACCCATTACAATCCACACTAGTTAGGACACCTCGGGCCCATGCCTGTGGAGTACTTCCGATGGCGGGTGGATGGACGCCACCCACCCCTCCTCGTTGCTGCACGAAGCAGCTGGACCCGAACAGTGGCGCGCCGCACTGCTCACGCCGTGTGCGGGTCACTCAGAAGCCGTCCGAGCTATATACAATGCATCATATCCACAATGCACCCTGTGAAATGACCTTCCCAGACTTCAACTATGCCCAGGAAAGTCTCGTTTCCATTGCCGCTCACTCGTGAACATGAGCTGAGCCTGCGATCTTCTTGACAGCTCCCAGTATAGTGGCTGAACTTCGGATGGCAGCTAAAGTTACATGTGATAGATAGTCCAGATACAAGGTTGCTTGATCGAGAAAGGATTTATACGCTGCAAGTCATTGGTATTGGGACGCAAGGAGTCAACATGCATTGGGGCGTGAAAGAGAATTGCTCCTAGATCCCTTACAGGCCTGTGACCGTGACCCATCAGTTAAAGTTAGCCACGAGTTTGTTTATATTCAACCACCACTAAAGGGACCATAAATGTCATGAATAAATGCTTGTTGTTTCTGTTTTCAGCTCTCAGCTTCAAGGGCCACAACCACACCTGTTTGAGAGCCACGTCCGCGCTGGGGCGCGGTACGCGCAGCTAGTTCCAATGGTTAGCAGAGAGGAAAACCCTTTCACTCTTTGTTGTGATTTGAGTGCCGTAGCAACAACACATCTGGATGGTGTGGGCTGCATGGGTTTCAAGTAGGTTTGGTGGTGGTCTACGGCGGCTCCTTCTTCTTGTGCTGCAGGTGCAGCAGAAAAGCCTGTGTGCAGCGTGCTTAGCGTTCGTGCTTGCAACGCCTTTTTGGTGTCAGGGATTGTGCTGAAGGATGAATGCCCACCCCTTGGATTCAGGTCCCTTGGTCCACGTTCAAGACGATGTTGGCAAAGGACCTTTCATGGTGAAAATCACTGTCGCCTCCCGTGAGCGTTTTGAAAACTCGGGATAAAGCCACGAGTTGCGTGACACTTAAGCAAAGCCAACCGCAACCGCAGATCAGCCAAAAACAGCAGATCAGTTCAATGCCTGGGCGAACATGGTAGGGGCTGTTGCTTTTGGATGGAATCCCTGATTCAATTTATTATCATGTTTTTGGATGCTGCTCGCTCACACAGCAAACTTATTTTTTTTAATGAATTTTCTTGCGGCCCACATGTGGCAGCTTTTCTATTCAGGGGCTGGCCCTAAGCTTTATTTTTTTGGGGCCGGGTAAGCAAAGATGGCAAACTCGAATTGGGCCGGGCACTGCAAATTTTCGCTTCAAACTTGGAAATCTTGGGGTGGCTGGACGCAAATACGCAGTGTCATGACATGAAGTGGCAACATTTTCTCAGAGATCTTTGCAAGGAAACTGTTGAGGTTTGGGACAGGTTGCCGGGTGCTGGGTGCCACGGAGAGAGCGCCAGGCGCAAGTTGACCATGCAAGGTGCAAGGTGGGTCCATACCAATTTGTAAACAGGATGATGGGTGCAGCTGGTGCCGCTGGGTGGTGGGTGCCAGCTGATCTTTGGAGAAACACTTTCTCATCAATTGGGCCACAAAAGAAAACGCGGCGTTTCCAGGCATTTATGCTAACTGGGAACCATGTTGATGTAATTTCGGCTCGGCTGCCGCCCGAAGTACTTGGGAGTGAAGAATTGCGAACGTTAACAAAATGAAATGATCTGGTCCAAAAGGTATCATGGAAAGATGGCGGTTGAACCAATGTTTGGGGTTTGGGGAATTGCGTCTCTTCAAAAAACACACATTCGAGGAAGTGTGCTACTTGACTATTTTTTATTTAAGGTATTGAAACGCTTCGGTTGAACCAGGAGACTTCGCGCCGACAGGAGCAGGTCGAGGCAGATCGCAGCAATCTGTCTGAGGACCATGGTCGGGGCTGTTGTTGGGAGACCTGAAAAACATATATATAAACGTGTATCCTTTCACTGGTCTTGGCTTTTGTACGCAACATGCCCATGAATGTGGCATCCTATATTCAATAGCATAGCATACATGACGTCACCTTTTTGAGATGAATTCCCCGTCAAAGTGAAAGTAAGTGTGCGTGTGTGTGTGTGTAACATCTAAACAGATGTAAAACTTCTCTCTTTTTCTTCCTTCCGTCCTCTCCCTTTCTAAATAACGCAGGGGGTGGTAGCAGGGTCCAGAGTCTACCACCAACGAAGACGCTCTGGTTTCCCTGGTGATACATGGCCTGATCAGCCATGCGTACCTGCCAATTTTTCTGGAATGGGAAGAGGCTCAACCCAAGAACCTCCACGTCGTTTATTTGAGAATTTCAATTTACTGCACTGTTGACGCAATCTGGAATCAATTTTGACATTTACATGCATCAGAACCTTCCTCAGATTTTCGCCGAAACCATATCGCCGACAGTATTATGTTTTTTGACTTATTTTCGCCGAGATCCTGTCGCCGACGAACTGTGGGTCCTTTTGGGAAACAATCGCCGAAACATTATTGTGAATTCTCAACATGCTGGTCAAAACTCTATGGAATCTGGTTATGACTACGTTTGACAATATTGGATGCCCTACATCGTTTTCGTGAAGTACCTCATATGGCTCCTTTACTAATCTAACGATCTAGGCTGGTTTGCATGTTTCAGGATTCAGTTCCTGCCGGATCATATAATGATCCATTCTTGTCTAGTGTGATTTCCATGGTGGCTCCGACATGGTGCCATGGAGCCATTGGAGGCAACCCTTTTCAGGGTGAATGATGACTGTCCTGACTTCCGAATTAACACATTTTAATTTGGTAATTCATTTAAGTAAATTGCAACAGCTGGCCTTACCGTTTTCCAGCCTTTTAGGGTTGTCCCGCTGGTCCGTTGGTCCCAGGGTTCCTCGCCAAAATGCCTGTCTATCGGAGTGAAGCCGTTCTGAACTTCCTGAAACATGACATGAACGACAGGCAGGCACACGACTTTCAGGTGTGGTCTTTTTTCTTTTTGGTTGTCTGGTGAGGTCAAACATATCGTGCATCTAATTCGTTGGAACTTGAAAGCTGTTTTATGCCCTTGTGGCTGACTGGAACACGGGCCTGGAGTGGCATAACGCACGAACCCTAGGTTTAGGAGCTGAATCCTGTTGTTTAACTAATTGTTTTGGTTTCCTTGTCTGTCACCAACTAGTCCCCCATTTGGTCCCTAATTTTCCCTGCGTGCCTCTCCGTAATGTGTCGTGGGGTTTAGGTGTGTGCGCTGTTTTGGTCAGGTCCGTTTCGCCGTGTCGGTTGGTTCCGGAGGTCCGTCTGTTCCCCTCCCCCCCCTGCGCTGTTTTTGGCCGTCTGCCCGTCGTGTGTCCGCTTTTTTCTTCCTCTTGCCTTTCAGGGTTGACCCGGCTCTGGCCGGGTGTGTGTGTGTAACATCTAAACAGATGTAAAACTTCTCTCTTTTTCTTCCTTCCGTCCTCTCCCTTTCTAAATAACGCAGGGGGTGGTAGCAGGGTCCAGAGTCTACCACCAACGAAGACGCTCTGGTTTCCCTGGTGATACATGGCCTGATCAGCCATGCGTACCTGCCAATTTTACTGGAATGGGAAGAGGCTCAACCCAAGAACCTCCACGTCGTCCATTTGAAACTTCAATTTACTGCACTGTTGTCGCAATCTGGAATCAATTTTGGTCATTTACGATTAGTTCAGCTGCATCAGAACCTTCCTCAGTTTTTCGCCGAAACCATGTCGCCGACAGTATTTCTGATTTTCTGGATTATTTCGCCGAAACCACGTCGCCGATGTATTTGGATTATTTCATCAAAACCACGTCGCCGATTTATTTTTGATGACGATCTTGGACATGGAAATCATTCTGGAGAACTTCTATTATTCGTAGGATGCATCGTTAATTTCGTTGTTTCATATCTAATCTGCATGTTTCAGGATTCAGTTCCTGCCGGATCATATAATGATCCATTCTTGTCTAGTGTGTGGGCAACATGACTTGTTTGCGTGTATTGATGTGGTGGCTGCATGGGAATTGACATGGCATAAATGCCTCCCCGGCGCTACCTGTGCTGTCAAGAGCACGGAAAACTTGTGATGAAAGATGTAGCCAGCTTGCTGGTCACCAGGATGCGTAGTGACTACATATAGGCCCTTTCTATCCCTTTTTGGGGGCTAGGTTGCGGAGACATCAGGAGCCACATGCCTCCATGAATTTCATTTTGGTGTGAGCCTTGGAAACATCCAGCTTGGCTGGTGTGGAAGAATCTGTTTCGCGTGTTTGCTTTAGATGCCAGAGTTGTTGGATTGGCTCCCAACTCAGGCAAAACCAAGGTACGACTACTGGTTTTCTCATCTCCGGCTGATAACCGGCCCCATGCGCCGGTTATCGCCGGATGAGATTGATCAATTGGTACGACATTGTGAAAATACATAGTCAGATGCTTTCGATACAAAGCTGAGTTTTTGTCAGGGTCTTCCAAGTGGAGTTTGCCTCCTCCCGACCATTGAGTGCACGGACGGCGGAAGAAGGCGCGGGCCTGTGCTTCATGCAACCATCGTTGCTACAACATCTCCCCGTCAGGAGGCTTCTTCGAAGCGGCCATGGTCCTGGATGAGACCACTTTCACCCTTGTGGGTGAGATGGGCTTGGACTGGTTTGAGGGGGTCACTTCTCTCCAGGACTTGAACGTTCTTGGCAACTTCGAGGCTCGCCCCCACAGCAAGGTGGAGCTTTGGCTCTCTGCCTGCTGGGCGAGGCGGGGATGGTGCTCAATGAGATCCGCAATGCTGAAAGGGCATGGTCTTTGAGCACAGCTATCCGGTCCTTCCTTTGGCCGCGCCAGCCCGGCCCTGAGACAGTGTGGAGCACTTTGACAAAACACTGCAAGTTTGAGCCCTTTGATTTTTTTTTGCACAGTGGGTCAGGGCAGCATCCGTGGAAGAGGCCATGGATGATTGGGAGTCGGTGCCTGAAACGACTGGGAGAATTGTAGCCGCCGGCACTTAGATGCGGCTTGTCCGTACGCTCAGGCCAGGCCGTGGCTGGATCTGCACCGGCCCTCCTGTCGTGTTCTGGCAGAAAGTCTTACGCCGTGGTCCCAGTACTTCACCGACGCATGCCCAAACATTGCGTGAAGCGTTGTGTGGCTGGCAATTTCCAAGCTTGATGCAAGATATCAGCAGGGCTGCTGCAGAAGGGCTCGGCGAGGCGGTAAATATAGCTGTGAGAGAGATGAGATGTGTGTGAGATGAGATGCGCGAGAGAAGAGGGTTTTGGAAGGTAGGAATTGCGCGAAATGCTGTGTTTTCCAATAGTTTTGTGCTCTGGGAGGTTCTCTAGGGTAGCTCGGTATGACGGCGGTCTCGGAGCTGGCGTTGAAAGCTGCGCGACAAAATGTGCACGCCGCTGTAGCGAGAAGCGCATTTTGAGATGAAAGTGCTCAATGCGTCGCCTCGACCCTTGTGTGGAAGTTGAAGCTTTGAAAAAGTGCACGTGGCTGTGGCGCGAAGCACATTTGGAAGTGAAAAGTGTCAAAATACCTCATGGCGAGCACACTTTCGGAAGTTGCGAGGTTGAAAAAGCGCACGCGGCTGTGGCACGAAGCAAATTTGGAAGTCAAAATCGTAAAAAACTGACATGTTCGGAGCACTTTTGGAAGTTCAGACGTCCTAAAATTGCACGTGGCTGTGGCGCGAAGCACATTTGGAAGTCAAAATCGAAAAAACTGACAAGTTCGGGATGTTTTTGGACGTTCAAATTGCGTTTCGCGTGGCAGGCGCAAGGAATTCTGCGTCTCGTGAAAAGTGAGCTAAACGTGAGGGTTTTATAGCATTTCCCAAAACGTTGGCAGGCGTGAGGGATTTATTGAGCAGGGTTCGAAAAGTTGCATTTTGTGTGGCAGGCGCAGTAACATCTCATCTTGGAGGATGATGCTTGAAGCTCCAAATGCTCAATTTGTGAAACTGTCGACAA